GCTGTTTTAGACTAACAGGTTAATACCAGCCAATTCCCTTCAACCAAGGATTAAGTTTTCACAACGGTTGGGGAAAGGGCAGCTCTAGATAGCTCCATATTCTTGACTCAGGCTCTTTCTAACCCTATACAGATGCACCAGGGTTGGGGAGAGATTCCGGACAGTTCTTTTCACTATCTTGGGGCTCCCAGGTAACTGAGTCCAGTGGAAGCACTGAATACCAAAGCATGAACAGGTGATTTGCTTTTGACTTGACCTGGCTTCCGCCTTCTTCCACCTTTACTTCCTATAAGTACCTGGATGATTCTGTAATGGCCACAGCTGTCCCCACACCAGAGAAGGGCATGGGCTCTTTCTTCCTAGCGATCTAATCAGGTGCATCAGTCCCACTGGGCCAGGGAATCAGTCTTAGGTGGCAGTGAAGGTCCATGTCGCTATTTACTGCTCTAGCTCCAGGAAGGGTCTAACACATTGTCACTAAATATTTGATAAATGAGTGAATAAATGATTACAGCCAGCCCTGATACCAGTGGAATTGTCCTCAGGGGTAAAATGCTCTCCTCACCCTGGGGTATAGGACCCTGCACTCACTCACGGCCACACTCATGTGCCATCCTGTTCCCCTTTTACTGAGTCTCAGCACCACTGGCTCTCCACACTCTCTCACAAGGGCCTTGAGGTGCCACCCACTCAAGTTAAAGGAGCCCTTCCCTCTCCTTATCTCCTGCAGCCTCAGCCTCTGGGTCTTCCTGATTAGCTCCCCAGACTGACTCAGTCTCTCCAGAGCCAATCACCCACCCATCCTTCACCTCTATGGATGTATCTATTAGAATTTTTTCATAAGAAGATGGGAGCTGGCCAAACCCCTTTCTCTCCCAGGCCTCTGATACTTCATAGGAAGACATAGGAAGCTGGCTTGTCAGTAGTCTCTCCTTGCCTACAGGGACAAGGTTTTATTCTAGCTAGGAGAGTAGAGAGGAGTACACTCATCCCTTCTTCTGTCTGTGACTCTTAAAGAGCAAACAAGGTGAAAAGTGGCCAGAAGGATGTACAGATTTTCTGGGTTTCATTAGAGATTCTACCCCAGACAGCCCCTCTTACCCTGGGGAGCAGGCTGGGTTATGGGCAATGCACGGGGACTTTGGGGGGTTGTGGCTTGCTCAGACTCGTCAGTGGACAGTCCGCTGTCAGCCTCAGTGTCCAATGAGCCAATGGTCTCCTCCAGGAAGAGCAGACACTCCTTCTCTTCAGCAGACAGGAAGTCGTAGCTGCTGTCACTCTGGAGCGAGGAGAGGAGGAAGGAAGCTGTGAGAGGTTGCTCCCAGAAACTGGTGGGGCTTGAGAACCACCCTGTGTTAGGGAAGGAATGCTGAAGAGCTGGAAACATTTCCATGATGCTACTCTGCAAACCTGCTGGAGTTGCTTCCTGAAACTGCAGACACTAGGGAGGCCAGAGACTGCTAGGCTGCTGCTGTCCCACGAGCATCCAGCTCTGGTAGCTGGGCAGGCAAGTGGCAAGTGGCCTTTCTTTTGCGTCATCCTGGATGAAATGCTGAGGAGATCAGAAGCCATCCCAGGCTCTAATTCCAACTTCTCTGTGTGACCTGGGTCAAGTATTTCACTTCGTGTGTCTCTGATTGAGCTTTAAATTATATGGGCAACATAATGATTTGACTTTCAACTTGAACGGTATGCTTTTAAATGTCCAAAGTACTTCTGCATACTTGATCTGTCGTGTCAAGGACAATATGAAGACAAACAGGAAATACAGCCAACTACTGGCTGCCAGGCCAGTGGGAACAGGGGCATGATTAGCGAGAGGTAAATTTACTAAATGATTTATAATTGAGTCTGAAATGCATTCCATACAGAATTTTTTCCCTTGTGTATTTACTTTCTTTATGGTATTTGTCTCTGGCTAACGTTCAAATCATTGTGCACCGCTTGAGCAAATATTAACTTAAGGGGGGAGGGTGAAGAAACTGGATCGGTATGGGGGAGGAGAAAGCAATTTAGTATTAAATTTTAAGTAGATATTAAATAAATAATTTTCATTACGACAAAGCCCCTAGGAATATCGGGAAGAAAATGCTATGGTCATTTAAGATGGGTTCTGCCCACATTCTACAAGGCGAGGAAGATCCATGGAACAGTTGTTCTCCAAACAAGAAGGTTGAAGGGAAAACCAAAAAAAGCAAATGGGAACATGAGAAATTTGGTCCGAGTCCCTTCATGGAATATCTACCCCTCTTCCTAATATTTGAGACACTTCAGAGTTGTATATTCTTCAGATTCACTCAGATGGCCAGGAAAGATTTTGTTGGAATAACCCTTCCAGTTCCCCAGGTTCCTTAAAGGGCCACCTGTCAGTTGAGGCCTACATTTAAAGGGAAGCCTCAACTATAGCCCTTGGAAGCCCTGAAGCTGACTCCAGGGGTTCTCTGAACAAAGATCTTCTTTAGTGCCCTCTTCTACCTAAAATAGCCTTGCCAAAGGTAAGCCAGCTCTGAATTTCTCCTTTGTGGATGATTCTCTTTGAAAACCTTTAATCCCGGTCACAGTCTGTGTCCTGTGGTATGTAACTATTCATGTTGGCCTGAGCCTAACAGAAACAGAATGAATTCTCTGTGGTCCCGTCATCTCGGGTCAGAGAAATTACACAGAGATGCCTGAACTTTGGGGGGTGTGTGTGTGTGTGTGTGTGTGTGCGCGCGCGCGCGCTGTTTTTACATATCAAAACTCATTGACTATAGTAAACATCCTTGACATTCAGTAGAGGCCCTTATATTCCTTAAAATTTCAAATACCTCTATAGGATATAAGCCATAAAGCATAAATTCTCAAGTGTTATTATGTATGTGACGAGTACCAACAAGAAAGGAAGGCTTACATCTGGGCATAGGGCAGGTTTACTCTTTCACACCAGCCTTACAACAATTAAGATTTAAACCCATGCCCAGAAAAATGACAATTTATTACATGTCACTCACAAATAAACACAGTGAGTTTGGAAGGTTCTCAGTCTCTGCTTATAGATGGGCTATTTGTTTTCTACATGGAGACATGTGCTAAGTGCTTTATATGCATCTCATTTACTCCCCCACCCTCAAGAACCCTATGAATTCAGTGTTAATATTATCCCCATCTTAAAACTGAGGCCACTGAGATTTAGAGAAATTAAGTAATTTGCCCAAGGTCACACAGCTTGTAAGTGGGGAACCCAGATCTGTTTGGCTCCAGAACCCAGGCTGTTAATTACTCTGCTGTCTTCGATCTTTGTGAAGACTGAAGTACTGCTGCTCATTGCAGAGAACTTTAGGAATCCACTTGCTACAAGGATCTATCTACGTTTTAGTTTTCATCATGACCTCAGATAACCAGCCTGCTCTCTCACCTCATCTCAGCCCCCTAAACTCCATGAAAACTGGAAAAAAAGTCTTATTTGTCCTGTGGCTTTCTGGGGTTGCCCCACCTCATTCTCTATAGAATCATGGGTGACTCAGGCAGAAAGCATCAAGCGGTATGATTCACTCCCTGATGAGGAAGAGGCAAGAAATGGAGCAGCGAGCAAGGATGGTGGTGGGCAGGGCAGGGCAGGGCAGGGCAGGTGTGCAGAGAGCGGGCCAGGTGGCAGGACAGAGAGTACGTACAGATCCAGAGCGGGTGGAGGTGGTGCTCATCATGCTGTCACAGCTGCTGACGCGGGTCACGGGTTCTGAGCCAGGCCCCGCTGGCCACAGCTCCCTCTCGGGCATTGCCAGAAGTAAGGTGCAGGGACGGTGAAAGATGCTCCCAGAGGGGAAGCGAGGGGAAGCGAAGAATGTCCCAAGCTGGGCCTGAAAAGAGAAGAATCAAAGCCACGTGTGAGCCGAGCCCGGACTCCGGCAAGGCTCTGCCCAGGCCCTGGAGCAGCATGGCGGCAGGGACACCAAGCAAGCAAAGAGCTGGAAGGGGCCGTGGACAGCCATTACCTAAACCCAAACCGCCCAGCCTGCATGGAAGGACACATAAGCTGGCTCACATACACACAGAAGGACGGACTCAGGAGGCGGGGAAGCAGTCAAGTCAGAAAGGAAATTCCATCACTTGCTTTAACCACTTTTTTTTCTCTGAACTAGGGAGCTTAACCTACATTTTCACTACTATAAACAATAAATATTACAGGGGTTAATAGCTTGGATTCTGGAGGTAGTTGGATCTGAGTGTGAATCACAGTTTAGCTGTTTGCAGTTACGCGACTTGAGGCAAATTACCCTTTGAGTTTGTTTTTCCTCATTAAATAGGGTAAATGGAAGGATGAAATGAGAACAGTTAGCACAGTTTAGCTGGTAGTAAATACTCAAACACTTAATGAATAACTATTACGGTTCTTATAATAAGAGAGACAAAATCCATCTAGGATAAAAATACATTGAGGTAAAGGAAACAAGAGTTTGGAAAACAAGGGTTCAGGTTGAACGGGAGACTAAAGGCTTAAGAGAAGCAACAGGGCCCTTAATAGTTTATACTTTAGGGTTGTTTGGAAGGTATAACAAAATACTCCATGTAAACACTTATGCAGTGCATGGCCCAGTAACTGATAGCTGTTATCATAGTCAGCATCACCAACATCATCACAACAGCCACCACCACAGCCAGTATTATCTCCCCAGCCTGGGAGACACAGGCATGGCACCTCCAGTGGTCGACACAAACCCCGTTTCCATCTTGTGCATCACCCCCCTCTGTTGTTGCACTTAATCCCAATGAGGTTCCCTAACCTGTGTCAAACAAACAAAAGAAATGTCCTATGTAGCTTCCTCCCAACTCCAATTCCTAGGGAAAGAAGTTTCAAGTTCATTGTGCCAATAGTAATAGCAAAGGAAGGCAGGATTGTCTTCTTTCTGAAAAGCCCAAGGATTTTCATATGCCCATTTGTATGGAAAACATTCCGGCAGAGTTGGAGAGGTGAGGGGGACTCTCCTATGTGAAAATGAAATTCTAAAAGCATTAAGATTAAAAGACAGGCCAAAGAGAGAGTTAGAGGAGAGGTAGAATATAGAATATAGACTACAGTCTGATTCTAAATCTATATTTTCCCCATGACACCGTACTATATTTTCTACCATTTTTATTTACCCTCCCAATACTAGGTAAAATGTCTTACAAAATGTATTCTATTTGAGATCTTGGGACTTGGGGTTTGGATTCCAGGGCAGGTTGTCCCTTTGCCAATAATTGCTTCCCGTGCCAAAGTCAGGTGTGGGCTGTGCTGGGTGAGTAAACCTGCTAATTCCGTAGAGCTGACAAGCAAAAGGCCACACAGAGCTCCCTTCCTACTTGGGAGGAGGCCCTCAGGTGGGACAGGTAGGGAAGGGCAGGAAATGGGGAACGAAGAAGAAGGAAGATCCTTTAATGACACATGTAGTTTGTGAGGGTCCAGAGCCTCTCAGGAGATAGAGAGGGAACCCGTAGGGACAGAGATGCCAAAGAAGCCCAGTGAAAAATTTTCGTTGGGTAAGATAGCTCTTCAGGTTCCTTCATGGGGTTATTTCCCCAATATCCAGAACCTCAAAGAAACAAACACGAGAAGTCACGTGGGTTAAGTTCAGTCATCTCAACTATCCACACCATTGATGACTGTCTAGGTTCAGAGGGTACTAACTCGTTCCTAACATTCTGTGAGCTTGAGGCCATTACAGCAAATGGGATCCATCTCTCATAGGCCTACACACACAGAAGGCACTCAAAAAATGCCAGACGAATAAGCTTCTCGTCCGTTCTAGTGTCTGCTGAGTTGAGCTATTGGAAAGCCTCTTTTTTGGCATCTCCCCTATTACTGTAAGCCCTTTCTTAAACAGTTTATTTCCCAAAGACTATATGGCCCAACGGAATTTGGACAATGTTTTCCATTAAACTAACATTTATAAGCACCAAATGGGCATGGGGAGTACAAAACTTGAAAAGACAAAGGCATTGTTTTTAAGAAGTCATGTAGATCCAAGGGTCTAGGTTTTGGCTCCAGTTTTCTTATTTGTAAAATTGGGACAGTCAATATTAAAAGTGACTCACTGTAATTACTATAATATTCTCCGTGAATGAGTGAGAGGATGCTGCCTCTTTCTTTCGGAGAAAATTACTACCCATGTTCTTCCAAGTGCACTTCAGACTTCATACAGCCCGCCCTTCCTCCCAGGGTGCCTATCACATTCATGGTTCAGAAGCAAGGGTGGCCTGAAGCAGCTGAAGGAGATAGAAACGATGTGAATAACACTGCTTCAAAACACATAGCATGCTATGGCTTACAAAGTGCTTTCAGATATGCTCTTTAGATCTCCGAAATAACCCGACCACTTAGGCAGGGTGTGACATCTTCTTTATTTGACAGATGAGAAAGCTGGAGCTGTTTCCTCTTCCCCTCCCTAAGAGAAGTAGGAATGACCTGTAACTGCAGACAGGGCCCTCCAGAGGACATCAGGCTGTCCAGGTGCACGAGGGTACCTAAGGAAGGGTCATTGGCCACCCCTGACTAAACATTAAAAGCCCTGTGGTCACTCTTCTCCTTCTAACTCACACTTTAAACCCTGTATGTTATCTGGTTCAGCTTTATGCTTCCAGGCCAGGTTTTACCCCAACAACAGATATTTCCAGATAAGGAAATGACACCAAATGCCACTAAAGATCCTGTCATCAGGCGCTAATCACCACTGCAGAGAGGAACCTGTATCTGCAACCAAAGCTGAAGGAGCCCTCAAGTGCTTGCCCTTCTCCACACCCCGTTTTCTTCGGACCTGAAGAGTTTGAACTATAAAGAAGTCTTCTCTGCTTCCTCCACTGCCACCCTCCCTCACCGGTTTGGCCAGATTTGGATGCTGCATTTCCTTCCATCAACTTTACAACCTTGACACTTGGGGACTATTTCAGGGCAACCTTGGGAACCTGAGGTATTTCAAACTGATAAGAAGCCTGAGGAAAAAAGCAAAACACTCAGGTGGGAGGTTAGTGCTTTTAATCCTTGACCTTTTTGGGGGACTGGAGGGGAGGAGGGAATGGGTTCAGAAATGCGCATAGCCTATAGTCAGGGCCACCCATGCAAAGGCACATTAAATATTAACTACTCCATTAAAACCAGCCAAGCCTTGAAGGAGAGTAAATAAATAGCATGTGGAGTTCCGCATCTGAAGAGGGGAGAGTGGGGAGAAGGCTTCAGCCCTATTCCTGTTCGGTTTCTCTCTACCTTCTAAATCGACTCCTCCCAAGAGCCCCCCCCCCCACCTTTGTCCTCCCTCCCCAGTAGTCAAGGAGGTTTCCGATTTCTCTTAGACGGGTGTCTCTGCTTTTTGCTGACTACCCAGAAATGTGCCTCAGGCTGGAGAATATCCTAAGAGAAGCACCAGAAAGACTAAAAGTTGCACTGTGTGTGTATCCCTCTCTATCAGCACATGGTTTCTGTGTGCGTTAAGGCGATGCTACAATCTCCCTCTTCCCCAGTGGGTTTGAGGAAAGGGGTGGGTAGAACTGTCCTCTGCACAAAAGAGCTTTATTCGACACTGCAGGTTACCTTTATTGTTGACAAGTTCCCCACCTGTGTCAGCCCTCAGAATCTGGTGGGCCGGTTCTGTTGCGTGGGCTAAGCTAAAGCCTAAAAGCTCCTGTTGACAGGACCGGAAACCCAATATATTCACCCAAGGCTTGTGTGTACTAGGCCCTGGGAGCCTGGCACTGGGGTCGTCCCACTTCCCTTTTTCCTGCAGTAGGAGGAAAAGAGATGGAACTAGGGACCAGAGTGTTAACACCCCCAAGGTGGGTAATGGAGAGCTGACTCTTATTCTGACTTGACTTTACATCCAGCTTCCTTGTGCAGGTAAACCTGCCACACATACTGCCAACTGGGACACCTGAAGGAAAATAAAACAAAACCACTGCACTGGTCTGCTTCTCTCTGTGGACGCTGCCACACTACTTTGGCCTGAGCCCCACAGAACTCCTACCAGAGACAACATGCTGCTGTGAAATACTGATGTGGGTGAGGCCTCAGCGCAACCAAATAGCTTTGTTTTCCAGTTTGTATGTTATTAACAGGCACAGTCAGAAAACGAAATGAGTTGAGTCCAAATAAACTGGACTGTGCAACTAGATTGTCTGTGAGTTTTCCAGAGATGAGCTGGTAGCCTGAGCTGGAGTTTTCCCGATGTAACCAAACCTCAGATCCCCTCATAGAGCTCACACCTTACACACCTGTCCACAGACTGCTCCATTATCATACTGCCATTATTGAGCATACACACTGCACCCTTTATTTAAATAAAGATAGACAATATAAAGCCATGGGAGGATTTCCAGTTAGAAATACAATGAAAAACCACTCTTATCTCGAGGGCGATCCCCCATTTTCACTTCTACTCCAACTATTCTCTTTCAAAGTCACAACTCAGTTTTAATTGCTCAAAGGTGGAAATTTCCAAAACCAACCTATTTTCTTTTCTTGTTTTCTGCACAGTTTACTTATCCAACCTAAATAGGCAGATGGAAAAATAATGCATTCCAGCTCTGGTCTTCACAAAAACACTTCATTCCAACCTACTCGGATCCGTGACTAGACTCTGAGATTTGAGGAACAGAGAGAAAAGCCCCTTAGATGGAATGTACAGGGCTCCCCACAACCCTGCAGCTCTGACTTTCCACAAAGTCCCCATTCCTCTCACACACCGTTTGATACAGAAGGCAATAATGGGTTAGCGATTAACTCACCTTTACTGGGTGGGGGCTGAAGAGAGGAAAGGAATACCCTTATGTTTCAAAGGGCAGAGATGAGACAGGGACTGCTCCCCCTGCCTCCTGCTGCTTTCTTCTTTTG